TTCATTAACCTAACACACGATGCACGTATAGACATGTTTTCTAAGCACACTTGGGCAGCCCGATGCCTGCCTTTACGTGGGATGACAAAACTCCTCATTCTGACTATTCATCCTAACCCACTCGCTCACCTCTGCCCAGGGGGTCGAGGCATTGGAAGTTACTCCCAGTGATCTTTTCATTTGCTGCAAATAAAGTTTCCTCTGTGTTACAACTGCACCTGGTGTGGCCTGTACTCTACCTATAACTCACCAAGGAGCGGACTCCCCTTAGTTTGGTTATAACATCTCAAGGGGGGGCACTTTACCGATACATGGGAGCAAAGAACTGTATGTTTTGGTGCCTAAACTTCTCTCTTATTAGATTCCGTGCTTTGAGCGCCTACCCATTCAGCACCTGTTTCCTTTTCTAAACATCCTGTAGTTGCTCAAGTTTTATTTTTTAATTATTTTTATTTTTTATTTTTTAATTTATTTCTAGGAGAGAGAGAGAGAGAGAGACAGCGTGAGCAGGGGACGGTCAGAGAGAGAGGGAGATACAGACTCTGAAATAGGCTCCAGGCTCTGAGCTGGCCGTCAGCACAGAGCCTGACGCGGGGCTTGAACCCACGAACCGCGAGATCATGACCTAAGCGAAAGTCGGACGCTTAACCGACTAAGCCACCCAGGCGCCCCCTTTTTAATTATTCTTAAAAATACTTATTTATTTTTGGGCTCCTGGGCAGCTCAGTCGGTTGAGCATCTGACTTCAGCTCGGGTCTGATCTCTCGGTCTGTGAGTTCGAGCCCTGTGTCGGGCTCTCTGCTGTCAGCTCAAAGCCTGGAGCCTAGTTTGGATTCTGTGTGTGTTTCTCTCTCTCTTGGCCCTTCCCCTGCTCATGCTCCATCTCTCTCTCTCTCTCTCAAAAATAAATAAGCATTTAACAATGTTTAAAAAAAATAAAATATTTATTCTTGAGAGAGAAAGTGTGAGTGGGGGAGGGGAAGAGAGACAGGGGGACAGAGGATCCAAAGCAGGCACTGTGCTGTCAGCAGGATGCCCGACGCAGGGCTCGAACTCAGGAACTGCAAGATCATGGCCTGAGCCAAAGTCGCCGCTTACCGAACTGAGCCAGCCAGGTGCCCTATTGCTCAAGTTTTAAAACGTAAATACAAATATACATTGTGAAATGATTACCACAGTCAAGCTTATGAACATATCCCTCACCTCATAGAATTAAGATTTGTGTGTACGTGCAGGGAGAACACTTAAGATGTTCTCTCCTAGCAAATTTCAAGTGTACAGTACTCTACTATTATACCGCAGTGATGTGTATTAGACCCATAACTGACCTATTTAGCATAGCTCCTAACTCAGGAAATGGACAGGTAAGCCCTGGTGCACTGCCATGGCCAAGTGCACTATCCCAGGGAATCCCTACAGGGCTGGACAAATGGAAAGGGTAGCTCCTGGCTGGGTTTGCCAAAAGTGTTGGTGAGATAACTCCAATTGCCTCCTCACAAGAGAAGTCAGTAACTCAAGAGACAAGGGATTGGAAAAGAGAAAGGGAGAAATTTATTTTGGGAGAGAGGAGGCAGACGCAAGCCTTAACAACTGGCCTCTCTGCTAACAGGATAGACACCTGGTGTTTTGTAAGGAGAGGCCCAGGGGTGCCTGGATGGCTCAGTCGGTTAAGTGTCTGACTTCAGCTCAGGACATGGTCTCACCGTCTGTGAGTTCGAGCTCGCTTCGGGCTCTGTGCTGACAGCTCAGAATAGAGCCTGGAGCCTGCTTCAGATTCTGTGCCTCCCTCTCTCTCTGCCGCTCCCTGCTCATGCTCTGTCTCTCTTTATCTCTCAAAAAATAAATAAACGTTACAGAGAGAGGTTCAGGAGGGCACTTGCATGAGAGCAGGCAGGGAGTACGTGGTCATGCGTGGGGGCTGGTATGTGCTTAGTGCAGCAAAGGGGAGGAAGTCTTGTAGACATTCTGTTGCCATCAGGGCTTTTCTGCCCTGGCCATTGGAATGTTCTGATCATTTCAAAATATCTTTCATCGATGCCTAAAGACAATGCAATAAGAACACAATGCAATAAGAACAATGGGCTTCAGTAAGAGCATGTGTGAAGTGGTCTTGTCTATTTATGGTTTTATTAAAAAGTTTTTACATGTTTTTTAAAATTTATTTTTGAGACAGAGAGAATGAGCAGGGGAGGGGCAGAGACAGAGACACAGAATTCAAAGCAGGCTCCTGGCATTGAGCACAGAGCCCCACACAGGGCTCAAACTCATAAGTTGTGAGATCATGACCTGAGCCCAAGTTGGAAGCTTAACCCACTGAGTCACCCAGTCGCCCCTATTTCTGGTTTTGACTGTTGAGGTCTGCAGTTGAGTAACAACTGGCCTCTCTGCTAACAGGATGGACACCTAGTGTTTTATAAGGAGAGGTCCAGGATGCCTGGATACCTCAGTCGGTTAAATGTCTGACTTCAGCTAGCTGACCTCCAGTAATTACTTACCCTGGCTGAGCGACTAGCATTTGACTAGCATCTCAATATTTCTCCCATCCTCAGCCCCTGACAACAAACATACTAATCTTCACATTTATGATTTTAACTTTTAATGGGTTCCACATATATGTGATTACATACAGAATTTTTTTTTCCCTGTGTCTGGCTTATTTAACTTAGTATTCTCTGGATACATCTTGTTGCTGCAAATGAAAATATTTCCTTCACTTTTGAGGCTGAACACACACACACACACACACATAGATACTTCAGAAGTATATTCCAAAGTGTATATATATGTATATATATATACACATGGAATACTTTCTTTATTCATTGGAAGAGAGAATATGTGACGTTAAAATAAATAATTTTCTGGGGCGCCTGGGTGGCTCAGTCTGTTGAGTGTTCTACTCTTGATTTCAGCTAAGGTCATGATCTCACAGTTTGTGAGTTCAAGCCCCACATTGGGCTCTGCGCTGACAGTGCAGAGCCAGCTTGGAATTCTCTCTCTCTCTCTCTCTCTCTCTCTCTCTCTGCCTCTCCACTGCTCACTCTCTCTCTCAAGATAAAGAAATAAACTTTAAAAAATACATTAATTAAAAAAAATCACTTTGCATGTGGATTGTTCTGAGCTGAAGGCAGTTAGGACCCAGCAGACTCAGATAATGTTATTTTGCCTCTAACTTAACTGCTGGAAAGAAATTAGATAGGGGACCTCAATCAGGAAGAGAGCTAATACCAGAGATAATCTTTTTTTATCAGAAAGATTGACCTGCCTGGTGTGGAAAACCTTTGTTTGCCAACATTTGCTCTTTCCTTTTTTCTGTGATTTTATTTCCCTCTTTTTGAAATTCTAAATCCCTAACCACCCCCCACCTTTTCTTAGGTCAGAATGGCCTATAGGCCTATAGGCCTATAGGCATCATTTGCTTGTTTTTGAGCCTCTTATCTCTGGGGTTCCTGTAATGAAGAAATTAAATTTGTTTTTCTCCTGTGATTAATCTTTCTTCTTTTCTCTTTCTTTCTTTCTTTCTTCTTTTCCTTTTTTTTTTTTTTAAGTAGGCTCCACACTCAGCATGGAGCCCAACATGGAGCTTGAACTCATGACCCTGAGGTCAAGACCTGAGCTGAGATCAAGAGTCGGAGGCTTAACTGACTGAGCCACTCAGGCGCCCCTAATCTGTCTTATGTCAGTTTAATTATTAGACCAGCCAAAGAATCTAGAAGGAAGAAAAACATTTTCCTCTCCTACACATTCATCCCAATCAGCAGGACAACTGTAGTGAGACCATTTCATATTTTACAGTGGGAAACCACTTAGTATTTTCTAGAATAGCTAGCATAAAGGAAAAAAATGACACCACCACATTCCAGTGAAAACGTTGAGGAATTAGAGTTCTCATATACTGCTAATAGGAGTGTAAGAAAGACATTCACTTTGGAAAGCTGTCTGGCAGTTGCTCATGAAAATAAACATTTCCCTCCTGAAGGGGAGCATTTAGTCACCCGACATAAGCGCCTCTCCGGCTTAAGGATTATTTTAGGCTGCTTATTTTAAAGAAACAGCAGACAAGGGAAAAAGTCTGAAATCAGAAGTTCTGGTTTCCTCTTCTGAGAGACATTTGCATTTATAAAGGAAAGCTCTGTTTGGAAGGGTGCCTCCCCCCTCTGTAGCCGGGAGAGGGAGAATGTGCAAATCTCCAGAAACTCCGATCAATGGAGAAAGCATGGACTGAAATCTGGACAACAACCGTAGGCTTGACTCCTGAGCTCGGCCTGGTCCCCCCCGCCCCCCAAAGCCTCCCAGTTGGATCACGTGTCGAGTTCCAAAAACCCTCAGCGCTGCTGCCCTCCCGTCAGATTCTGTCACTTTGGTCTGGGTGGAAAGAACGGTGTTGTGTTCACGAGGCGCTCCCCGCGAACCTAAGTGAGGCCGGGGCGAGGCGCGAGGGCTTCCCGTTATTTTCTGGGAGTTGAGGGCAGGCTTTGGCTCCCGGGGAGCGAACGGGGTCTCCTCTCCTTGAGTTGGGGAGGGTCAGGTCCCTACTGCACACTTTCCTGGGCGGCAGTACTTGGGGGCCTCTGGGCGAAGTGAGGCCCCTTGAAAGTGTTGCTGGGTGGACTGGGGGAGACCCGGGGGGCCCTGGGCCTGTCTCCAGCCCATCCTAAATAGGCTGCTGAAGGGTCCCAAGAAGGAATTCAGGGACAGATGAGTGACACAACCAGGACAACTTACTAAAACCAAGTGCACTCTCAAGATGTGAGAGTTGGGTTCCCCAGAGGGAAAGAGAGAGAGGGGGAGAGAGCTGGGGGCCCCGGGCTTCGGGATTCCAAGGGTGATTGACAGTTGCTAACTAGGGGGTGGGCTATTTATTACTCGGGGTGGGCATTTCTGGGCAGCGGGGTTTCCGCGCCTTTTCTTCCTTATTTGGGCAGGCGTTTCCTGTCATGGCACCCGCCATCTTGGGCCCGTCTGGTCTGAGCTGGCTTCTCGTGGAGAGCGGCCCGCGTGGGCATCCGCCTCCGCTGCCAGGGGCCGCGCTCGCCTCCCGCCCCTCCAGGGAGCCCGTGGGGACGGACTCGGGGCCTCCGGCGGCGCCCGGGGAAGGACGGAGGCGGGGGCTGCCGCCCCGGCGGGAGCGCAGGGAGTTTGTGAAACCGCTCCGGACACAAAGGACCAGGAAGTGGGGCCTGCTCTGCGCGCCGGCGTCCCGCCTGCAGGCGCGCGGCTCGCGGCCGCCGCCGAGAGGCCCTTCCGGTGCCTCCGGGGGCGTCTTCGCCCGGCGCGGCCGCGACTCCTCCGCCGGCGCCTCCGGAGAAAGCGACCCAGGGGACGAGGAGAGGAAAGCAAATAACACACAACCGAGAAGGAATGGCCGGGTCCCAGGTAAGCCGCGCGGCCCGCGTCACAAGCGTGTCATCTCTTTGTCCCCGAGACCCCGTGCAGCGAGGAGCCGCCGGGGTCGCGGGCGGGCGCCCGGGGGGCTCCGGGCGTCGGCTCGCGTCCCGGTCCCGGGGGGGCGTGGGCCGGAGCGCCCCCCTGCCCCGCGGCCGCCGCCGGCTGAGCGTGGAGCCTGCTTGAGACTCTCTCGCTCTCGCCCTCCGCCCCTTCCTCGCGCGCGCGCACGCGTGGACGCGCTCGCTCGCTCTCAATTAAAATTTTTTTTTTTTTTTTTTTTTTGGTGCAAATGTTGATTCCGCTACTTCTCCCGTTCCTGCCTTGGGAGTGTTTTCGCCTATTTTTAGGAAGCTGTTTAAAAAAGGATACTGACACTTGGCGCTGTAGACACGCTCCCCTCGGCTCCAGCGCCCTCTCCCTTCCCTCCAGCCCGGCTTCCAGCGGGACGTGAACAGTTGTCACTCGGAACTCGTGCCCTGCGCGTCTCGAAAGTGTCCCCTCTGCGACTGATCCTCAGGGAATCCCAAAGTTCTCTCTTGCGGATGGGGCTGCGTCCTGGGAGGTCGGCAAGGGGAACGTGTCACCGTCAGGTCCCGTCTGGATGCTTTAAGGGCCCGGTGTAGACCAGGATTAGGAAAATGCAGTTTTAAATACGCAAAATGGAGAAGTGTCCCAGAATAACTCGGAAAGTTCTGGAAAAGAGACAACCTTGCCTGTTTAGACTGTGAAAGGTGCTCTGTTTAAAAGACACATGATTACATTACAGGACGTGGGGGCTCCGTGTGGCTTGTAATTTGCATGAGTCCACAGTTTCTAGTAATTAGACTCATATTTCGATTCACTTTGGGGGGAACAACACAGCGGTGATATGTGTCGTTCGTGTGCCTCGGGCACGGATACCAGTTTGCTTCATTACAGCTGATGTTAATTAACTTCTTGTACTTGGCTCTTTGCTCTCTAACCGGTTCCTCCTTTATCACATCAATCTTTTCCATTTTATCATTCGTAAAGAAGTTAGGTGGATTTATTCACACTTAAACTGCATACTTCTTTCTTCGTGTAGTTTCCGTTGGAAAATGAAGACTCTCACTTTTGTGTACTCTGGAGATACCGACTTCTGGCACTCCTGTTGCTAAATAATTCAGGCCATTGTCCTGCAAGTTTCCATTTTACTCCGCACTCATGTCTCAGACACACTCTTTGTATTTTCAGAAAAAGAAAACAAGAATCCCATAAATGAACATGTTTTTGTGCCTTAAAATTCTAAAATCTAACATGGCATTAATGATTATTGAAAAAATTTTCAGTGAAATACTAGACTCAGAAACATTAGCTGTTTACTTTTTTCTCCCCAAATTTTTATTCAAATTCTAGAAACTTAAGATATATACAGGAGATAGCTGTTTTCTTTACAGCGTTCTGTGTGTTTTCATAATGTGATTAAAACACACATCATCCACACATGGATATATAAGTTTTACACCATTGAAAATGTTTCTTAGTTTAAGTTACCAGGGCAGTTTGATACTCTCTCACTTTTAATGTGTATATAATTACTTTTTATCTGTGTGGATGTGTGCTTAAAACGTAAAGAAAGGGTAGATCAGTTTTGTGTGGATCCTGTCTTGTTTCCGTCACGCTTCTCAGGTTTGACACCTTCATGAACATTGGGTTGGAGGCTTCCCTGTGTATTGACCTCTGCGTCATTTTAGATCAACTCGACAGCAGATAACCTGGATTGAAGCCTGATCCCTTCCATGTACTGGATGTTTGACAAAATATTCTCATAAAAAAAGGAAGAAGAATATGTTCTGTAAGATTATTATTTATTTGTGCATTAATTTATGAAAAAATCATTACAATGCTATGTAATAACCGGTAAATGCTCAAAAAGTATTGTTGGGCCATTTTTGCCATTCTAGTGGAACCTGCAGTGGCTGTAAAATGCCTTCAGTTCCCAGTCCTCCAAGAATTCTTGGAGTTCTACATCTTTGTTTTTAAAAAATGTATCCCTTGGCCCACAGGCTACTGCCTCGTTAGAAATGCAGACTCAGATCCCACCCCAGAACTCATGAACAGAATCTGCATTTCAACAAGATGTCAGTGCATTGTTGTGAAGTTCACATTCACATTAGAATTTGCTAAGTACATTTGTAACCCACTAAAACTTTCCATCTAAGACACAGAGACACAACATATACTGTATGATATAAATAAAGTACTCAAATGTGTATGACTGTGTCAGTGCTTTCACGTCACAATTTATCTTGGTAAACACACAGCATATCTAGTGGTTTTGTGGATCCGATGCCATCTTCTTAACTCAGAGCTAGAGAATATAGTAGGACACATTACTGAGTTAAAAATTACCTTACGGATGAAGCAGGGAACACACCTAAGCCAGAACTAGTTATCTTTAATATAACCAAAGTAACGTGAGCTCACTCCCTGGTGAGTGACGGACAGAAGGTACACCAGGTAAGAGTCACCAAGTGACTTAACACGGTTAAAGGCTACTTGACCTTTACGCTGGGTAAAGTTGTGACACAAAGGGAATTTTATTTGCAGCAAATAAGGAGATCCTTGGGAATAACTTACGAAGCCTTGACTTCCCAAGCGAGGCTGAGTGGGTTCCTTTTATTTAGAGCTAGAAGGGATGTTCAGAAAGGGGAGCCTTTTCATGTTACGTAAGCTCCTGCACGTTCCGTAGGGAAACAGGTCTGTACTTTGTTACATCAATGGGGCTTGTGCTCCTTAGGTGAGATTTAGTATTATAATGAGGTTGAGGTAATTGTCAGTCACTCTATGGCTCATCTGCAGCTGTGATTTGGAGGTTAATAAGCTCACGTTGGTGTCAGTGACCAGAGCACTGCGGCTCTTTGTCAGGACACCCTTATCGCTTGAGGTTTGGAAGCTTCCATTTCCATGATGGGAGGCTGTGCCCCTCAGGTCTCTTGCCCGAATTGAAAGATAAGCAGGAAAGAAGAACTGAACGAAAATGTGGGACAAGGGTCGGTGAAGACATGCAGGTGGGCAGGGGAGGTCAGGTGTTGGGGTCTAGCTAGGAACCTAGCTCCTAGTTTCATTCTCCTCATTCTCGAAGGGCACCAGCAGATCTGTTCCTGGAGCTACTTCCTGCCAGGCATGGGCATGTCATAAGGATTGACTGAAGAGCAGAATTTCCCCTTAGCTAGATTAAAAAAAAAATTTTTTTTTAATGTTTATTCATTTTTGAGAGATGGAGAGAGACAGCATGAGTGGGGGAGGGACAGAGAGAGAGGGAGACACAGAATCACAAGCAGTCTCCAGGCCCCTACGCAGGGCGTGAACCCACAAACCACGAGATCATGACCTGAGTCAGAGTCAGACGCTTAACCGACTGAGCCGCCCAGGCGCCCTCTCTCAGCTAGATTTAGGTCTGCTTGTGGGTCCCCAAGCTGTTACCTCGTGTAACCTCGTGTTACTACCATTTGTGATTTTATGGTCTCTGTGGGCTTGGACACAACTTGTAGCAAACAGGATGCAAGTATGCAAGGTCCAAGCAGTAAGAAGAGCAGTGTTTTGTGAGTTTCTTTTTGCTGTGATCTTACTGATATTTACTGGGGAAGTTATCCCCCAGGGAAAGTCCACTGTGTTGATAGCTTTTGGCATTTCTAGGATAATGGTGACAAGAACTAACATTAAGAAAGTGTTCATTGTAACATCATACCAAAGGAAGAGGGGACTAGAACATTATTGTGCTGCGTATTAACAATAAGCTGTGGTGTTTATTACCAGTCATGGAGAGAATGATTTAATCTGTTAAAGGGGCCTGGCAGCAAACCGTAAGGGTGAAGAAATCAGAACAGAACTAGTATCATACAGATGGTGATTATGTTTTTTTCTTCCTCTCGCTCTCTTTAAAAAAAATTTTTTTTAATGTTTTATTTATTTCTGAGAGAGAGCACGAGGGAGTGTGAGCAGGGGAGGGTCAGAGAGAGAGGGAGATACAGAATCTGAAGCAGGCTACAGGCTCTGAGCTAGCTGTCAGCACAGAGCCTGACGTGGGGCTCGAACCCACAGACCGTGAGATCGTGACCTGAGTTAAAGTCAAACGCTTAACCGACTGAGCCACCCAGGCGCCCCTCACTCTCTATTTTTAATGTTTATTTATTTTTGTGAAACAGAGCGTGAGTGGGGCAGGGACAGAGAGAGAGGGAGACACAGAATCTGAAGCAGGCTCCAGGCTCTGAGCTGTCAGCACACAGCCTGCAGGGCTCAAACCCACAAACCGCGAGATCATGACCTGAGCCAAAGTTGAACGCTTAACTGACCGAGCGACCCAGGAGCCTCTTTTGTTGCTGGGTTTTTTGTTTTTGTTTTTGTTTTTAAATTTTAAATGTAGAGAGAGACAGAGCACAAGTCAGGGAGGAACAGAGAGGGGGAGAGAGAATGCCAAGCAGGCTCTGCACTGTCAGCACAGAGCCCAGTGCAGGGCTCAAACCCACAAACTGAGACCATGACCTGAGCCAAAACCAACAGTCGGACGCTCAATTGACTGCGCCACTCAGGCGCCCCGAGATTATTATGTTTTAAATTTGAGGACTTTTTCCATTGAGGCTCGCCTTATTTTGAGAGTGTTTCCAGAACTGAAGTTTCAGGTCAGTGAGCTGCTCACAGGAATATTGTTGTCATCTGGTGCTGGTAGCATCTCCCGCTGGGCCTCTGAGTAGATACCTTTTTAGTCTGGGGGATTCGAGAAGGTAGGATGCCTTCTAATTTGGAGGAAGAGCATGTGGCTCATGGTACTGGGTGGGGGCCCTGGCCAAATAGGGTACAGTTAATCCTGGGGTGACCCGTTTTTCCAATTTTTTTTTTTAAGTTTATTTTTGAGACAGGGTGAGAGAAAGAGCAAGCAGGGGAGGGACAGAGAGGGGAGGAGAGAGAGAATCCCAGTCAGGCTCCACACTGCCTGTGTAGAGCCTGATGCGGAGCTCGAACTCAAAAAC